CGGCCAGATGGTGGCCTCGGCAACTGGCAAGAAGGCAAAGGTGGACAAGTTCACCCCGCTGGACTTCACGGCCCTGGTTCTGGAGAAGAGTCTCTGGACCCCCAACGCCGTCATGGCGTACGTCCAGGAGCATGGCTCCCATGCAGCGCAGCTGTACTGCGTGCGGAACCAAAAGCGCCTCGAGGACCTCATCTCGGGCGCACAGGCGTGGAGGGATGCCAGGCGGCAGCATGTGCTCGAGCAAGAAACGGATTGGGCGCTGCTTCATCGGCTCGCAAGTGGGTCCTGCTGCTGCAATGGAACCTGCAAGTGGCTGGCGGCAGCGCGGGATTTCTTCCGCAGGAACCAGGCGACGGTGGACCCAGGCCTGCTCGCTGCGAGCGTTGCCAATGTCATCCAACACGGCCCCAGCAAGACAGCACGGGTCCCCTTGCTGGCTGGGGCCACGAATGCGGGCAAGAGTCTCATCTTCGACCCCGTCATCCAGGTCTTTGGGCGGCAAGGCATCGATTTCTGCCCAGCGCAGGGTGCCTCGATGGCTTTGAGTTCTTTGGCGACCAACACGCGCTTGCGATTCATCTATTGGGATGAGTTCTCGCCTACAGAGTTTGCCTCACGACCGCCCAAGGCGCCAACTGTCCCAGCAGTGACTTTTAAGAAGCTCTTCGCTGGGCAGTACTTCCGGATCCAGGTATCCCAGGCGCACCACGACGGCAACCCAGACTTTAGGTGGTGTCGTGGGGCCGCTCTGACAGCTCCTCTGGACGGACTGTGGGATGTGACAAGCCCAGTGACGCGTGAGGATGTCCGACACATGCAATCGCGCGTCATTCAATTCGATGCGCACGTGGTCATCCAAGGGCAGCTGGAGCCCATCCCGCACTGCCGCGAATCCTGGTGCAGATTCATCATTGACAACGCAGCTGCATACGCAGCGCGGCGCCAGCGCCAGGTGGGAGGAGTGGAAGTCGACGATGAGGACCTATGACATCGGTCTACCTCGTGTGCTAGAGCGCGAAGGCACAACGTCCCCGTGCCAGCCAACGCCTGCAAGCGTCTCTGACGCAGAAAAAAAGCGGGCGAGCGAGACCAAGTGCTCTTCTTGCGAGAGAACGCACCTAGGTACGTACTGTTGATGCTGGAAATCCTGCATGAGTTTCGAAGACAACCCAACCCTCCCGCCGCCCTGAATTTTAACATTGACCGGGAATCCAGTCCGAGAAATCCGGTAGCGCGAATCATTGAAATCCTGCATGACCCCAGGCGCCTAGTCAACACTGAAATTCAGGGGTGCGCAGGGGATGTGTGTACGCAGCGTGTTCTGTGGGTGGCTGGGGTCATGCAGGATTTTTATCATCCACCGTCAGTAGTAGTTAGTAGTAGTAGTGTAGTTAGTAGTAGTAGTAGTAGTGTAGTAGTAGTTAGTAGTAGTTAGTAGTAGTTAGTAGTAGTCAGTAGTAGTTAGTAGTAGTTAGTAGTAGTTAGTAGTAGTTAGTAGTAGGTAGTAGTAGGTAGTAGTAGGTAGTAGTAGGTAGTAGTAGCTAGTAGTGTTAGTAGTAGTAGTAGTAGTAGTAGTAGTAGTAGTAGTAGTAGTAGTAGTAGTAGTACGTAGTAGTAGTAGTAGTAGTAGTAGTAGTAGTAGTAGTAGTAGTAGTAGTAGTAGTAGTAGTAGTAGTAGTAGTAGTAGTAGTAGCAGTAGTAGTAGTA